GGTGCCGGTCATCAGACCTGCCAAGTGGCCCTCCTCATCTACTTGTGCTCACTACGTCCTTCATATTTAAATTATTGAATCACTGTTGAGAGAAGTTTAAACTTTAACTGTATCCATATTAATAAGATAGAAAAAAATTAAATTGTACTGTTGAAATAAAAAACAATTTCTGCCAGGCTGTAAATATGCCTTTTAATGCTGTAAAGTTCGAAGTTCATTTTAATATGGAAGTCTATACGAATTGACAACAGAGCATGAATATCTGTAAATCTGTAAATCTCCGTCATGTGGTGTTGGGATATTTCAGTGTGTCAGTAAAGCCGTGCTGCAGCGTCACACAGAGCTGTAACACACTTGTCTGAACTCTCAGGTGCTGGACGTTTCGGGCGCCGCTGTGCTGCAGGGGGCGCTGCCTCACTGCCAGGTGACAGTGTTGGACAGCTGTGGTCACTCTGTGGCTCTGGAGCGACCGAGAAAAGCTGCCAAACTCATCACGGACTTCCTGTCTGAGCAGGCAGTCAGCGATGGCAACGTAAAGAAAGTTTCTTGAAGAAAAACCTTTGAACTGTACGCCGACCCCTGACCTCATGATGATGAAGGAGAGGAGAAGTATGATGAGATTTCTACATCAACGTTTATGTCTGTAAAAAAAACTGAACAAACGCACAAAAGTATTACTTTACTTTAAGATATTCCTGATGTTTTCATCTGTATGACTTTTACTCACTGCCCTGCAGGCGGCTGATATCCATAATCTTTAGAGTTTAATGTCATGGTATCAATCCTCGTTTTCATGTTTCACTTTCAGAAAACTGCATTGTAGTCTTCTGTTTACAGCTGTTTGTGAACTATGCAGTGGACTGACTGCATAATTAACATCACAAAAACACATCAGACTGAATTTACAATGAAACATTTACTGTTGATTAATATGTGATTTGTATCCTTTAGCTATTAACTTTAATATATAAAGTTTAAAAAATGGTGGAATTAAAAGATTTTGTGTGTTTAAGATTGTTGGTTGAAAAATCCTGTCATTTTGGAAGACATAACACATCAAGTAATTTATTCAAGATGCACAGGAAGTAGTCACTGCTCACGAGGCCCTGCAATTCAGATTTATTTGTCACATGTTGTTAGTACAGGGTCAGCATTACAATGAAATGTGTTTGAAGAGATGAAACATGATTAAAATACTAAAAGTAACATGATTAAAAAGAAAATAAGATGAAAAAAGTAGAGAGAACTAGTTTGCGCAATGTATTGCAGTAAAGTAGCAGTTCAGCTGGGACTGAATATGTAGTTAAACTTCTTTTTACACTGACAGCAAGAGGAGTTTCACTGGTCTGGCCCACTCAAGATCAAAGCAGGATGTGTGTCAAAGAAGATGAATGATGTAAGCTCAAGCTGTGAAGTTTAATATGCTATATGCTATTTAATAGCACCACTGAAAGGTTAGGGTTAGGGTTACACAAGTTGTAAATGTTATTTTGACATTTTGAGGGCGACGAATCAAGTCCTGTCAAATACAACCTGAAATTAAAAAAATAAAATAAATGAATAATTAATTTTTATTTTCATAGAGAAAAATGTCATCCATTAGAAAAAACATTTGGATTATTACCTCAAAATGTTGATTCAATAACTCAAAAACTCACAAATTAATTTTAAATTATTTTGTCAGAGTTAGTACTGTTGTTTGTTTTTTGTGGCAGTGGCAGAAACAAGCTTCCATATCCGGTTTTCAACGTACAAGACAAAATAAGCCGTCTCGTGGCGAAGAGTGATCCATCTTGCAGTTTTACACGTCTTTGCAAAAGCTGGTTGCGCATGCGCTGCTGGGGTCCCCTTCCCCCTTAGTGAAAGACGTTTCTCTGGGACTGCGGACTTCTCGGCACGCTGTGTGTCCTCCACGTTTTAGCAGCTGGTGAGTGAAGTGATTCTGCTTTTATTAATCTTCAGAACAAATTAAAAACGTTCATTTCTGTGTGCGGAGTCGATAACAGAGAATCAGCTAGCAGCTACAATAACTTAGCTGAAGCTAACGGTTTCACCTTGTCCAGGGTTAGCCGCTTTCAGCTTCGGGTTTTAAAGGCTGTACGGAGTTTTCCTCGTGTTTTTATTGACGTTTCACTGTCAGATCTCTGGGCTTCCCAAAACGTAATATTTTAGAGCTTATCAGGTTTCCTCTGAGGTGTTCCTGTTTGTCTTTGTTGTTTGCTTTTGTGTAAATGCAGCAGCTTTGTTACCCAAAGCTGCTGTCCAAAGGTCCAGCCCGTAACTAAAATACTTGCAAAATGCTTTAAACACCTGCTGCTACAAGTCTTTGATAGTACACACTGACAGGCCCTCACAAGCTTGTGGAAAATAAAGTGTAACGCACACAGTTCCTGCTTTAGTACAGGTATTTATTGGCTAACGATAAAATGCAGACATGACGAAGAGACTCTCTGTAAGCGCCACTGTTTTGATTTTTTTTTTTTATAGTCAGCTGATCCACCTGCTGCTCTTCATCAGACAGAGGCTGAGCCACTGATGCTCTGATAGAATGAAACAGGTGGAGGAGAAGGAAGAAGCGTCTGTCTACCAACGGGTCGTGTTGAAAAACGCCTCACCGTACCACTACCTGAAGGTCCGCCTGTAAGTTCCTCATCGTATTTTTAGAGTTTGATGTTGTGCTGATATTTGTACACACACGCACACTTTATTTTTTCCTCTGTGTCTTTAGTGTGCTGGAGGATGAGTCAACCAGACTAAGTGCCGTTGAACTGAAGTACTTCATCATCACAGGCCTGAAGTCTCTGTATGGAGAGGTGAGACCATGAAGACCGGTGAGGAGTTAAGGAGCTTCTGTGTTTGTTTTACTTGTTTTATTCTCCTGAGTTTCAGAACCTTTGTATAATGTGAGGATTAATTTGCATTAAATACACTATATTGCCAAAAGTATTTACTCGCCCATTCAAATCAATGAATTCAGTTGTTCCAGTAACTGTCTTGGCCACAGGTGTATACAATCAAGGACCCAGGCATACAGACTGCTTCTACAAACATTTGTGAAAGAATGGGTCGCTCTCAGGAGCTCAGTGAATTCCAGTGTGATGCCGTAATATGATGCCACCCGTGCAACGAGTCCACTTGTAAAATTTCTTCTCTAAGGAATATTCCACAGTCGACTGTTAGAGGTATTAACAAAGTGGAAGCGAGCGTGAACAACGCTAACTCAGCATGAAATGGTATTCTATGTAAAATCACAGAGTGGGGTCAGCAAATGCTGTCTCTATGCCCTAGTGTGCAGAGTTTGCCGACTTTCTGCAGAGTCAATCTCTACACACCTCTAAACTTCATGTGGCCTTCAGATTAGATCAAAGAACAGTCCGTAGAGAGCTTCATGAAATGGGTGTCCGTAGCCAAGCAGCTGCAGCCAGGCCAAGCAAAGCATCGGGTGGAGTGCTGTAAAGTACACCACTACTTGTAGTGGTGTAGATTGTAGATGCCGTAGAGTCCATCTCACCTGCAGCGGCATCGCAGGCCACACCCCGCCACAAACACATACTTATAAGCCTTGCGGAAAGCTTTCCCAGAAGAGTTGAAGCTGTTATACCTGCACAGGGTGGGCTGATGTCATATTAAACTCTATGGATCAAGAATGGTATGTCACTCAAGTTCATAAGCGTGTGAAGGCAGGTGAGTGAATACTTCTGGTAATATAGTGTATTCTACCAGATGTGGGGCTCGTCCCAGCTTTGAGGTGACTGTTTGTTTGTGGTGATCTGGATCAGTCTTGTTCTTGTTTGTTTTTGGGTTTTTTGTGATAATGTATCTTCACGTAAATGTCAAACTGACAGTTGAGGTCAGCCAGGGGTCTCCATGTACTAAGATGATCACAGATGAAATTGTGATCTCTAGTTAGAGTAGGGAGCAGGTGGAGGTATGTGCTGGAGAGAAGAGGAATGGAAGCAAGACAGAATACATGAAAGTACATGAGTGAAACTGCACTAATAAAATAAAAAAAAGAAGGCAGAGCAGAATATGCTTAGATTTTTATTGGGATTGACCAGAATGGGTGGGATTAGAAATGAGTGCAGATCAGAGGGACAGCTCAGGCTCAGTTTAGAGCAAAAGTTAGATACAAGGCTGAGGTGGTTTGGACGTGTGCAGAGGAGGAAGATGCTGAATGTGGAGGGTGAGATTGAAGCAGATGAAAAGGAAAGGGAGATGTTCTGGATAGTCCAAACTATCTGAATCCAGGGTCCTAATTCATGCGTAGCGTGGAGGGATGCAGTTTAGCTTTTCTTACTTTGTTTTCACTCCTCAGGTGGGAGCAGCGTTAAACTTTGACGTCCTGAAGTACGATGAGGACACCCTGACCGCTCTCCTCCGTGTTTACAGCAGGTGACCACCGACCATGAGAGAAAGGGGGCGGGGTGGGGTGGTGGGGACAGCTGAAACTGAAACAGACTAACCACCACTTGTTGGTATCATTTTCTTCTTTTATTGTGTGTGTTTGCAGAAGTTTGGTGAAGCTGTGGAGCTCCCTGACTCTTCTCGGCTCCTACCAGAACAAGGCCTGTGCCTTCAGAGTCCTGCAGGTCAGCAGATTTGATCCCCGCTCTTCTCTCATAATAAGAATTTTCTCAGAGGTGATCCACTCCTAGAGAAGTTAATAGACTAAAGAATCGTGACGCGTGATGACAAATAAATAGAGTTTACATATTTTGCAGAAAAATAAACTCTACCAAACTTGCTGAAAATCTTAACATTTTTTCCTCCAGATTGTCATCATTAAAGCTGCTAATTTGATGCACATTATCCTCTCTTGTGCTAGTATAACATGCTGTAATATACACATCTGTAGGATAGTCTCTTGTTTGCAAATGAAGGTGAACAAAGTGAAGTTCTTTACTGATTTTCAGCTTCTGAGCCACAAGTCTGTGAACAACCAATCAGTCACCTTCCACAGAGTTTCTGATGGTTGGGTCTCGTGTGTTTTTTGTGCCGAGCATCAAAGCTCTGTGTCGACCTTGAGACTATCAGCTGTGAATACTTTACCGCCCCTCCCGAACCACATGACCTCTGAGGCGATTATCTCTGCCGCCAGGCACAAAAAATTACGTCCGTGTGGAAGCATTACACATATGTTTGTGCAGAACAATGTTCTGTATTCGCACTCCTGAGCTGAAGAGGAAAGTTCCTGTGCATCAGCTTTAATCTCGACAGATGATACGTGAGCTTTTTTTGTTCTTGTTCATTTTGCTTTTCTGGACACTGCTGCTGTGGATTTAAAATGAAGTAATGAAGAAGTTGCTTTAAGTGTGCACTATGAGGTTTAAAGAGGATGAAGCAGTATTTTTTTTTACTCTGTTTTAAACAGATTAGTGCCAAAAAAATATGTAACTGTTCTTTTTGTAGCTGCTGTTGTTAGATTAAATTAGGATACAATAGATAAGGTGATCAGTAGGGATTCATGTGACGCACAATAGCAAGGCTGCAATCATGCGGCGTTCACCACCATGAGAAAGAGACTGGGAGGCATGCAACATCATCGTTGACTTAAATAGGACGTTGCCCTTTTATATTTCTGTCTCATATACAAGGTGTGCTGAAAAAGTTTCAGAAAGGGACTCATTTAGAGTTGCTGATCTCCCCTTAAGAGCGTCTCGTGGACTGTATCAGCAAGGCCGCTCTTTTTAGATGTCTTGGCACTATAGCCTCTTGTGCTGGTGCTTCTGCAATTGATGCTGGATTATCCTGTGTGGAATTAAGTTTCAGTTGTGAGCAAAGATTGTGTTGGTGTGGCTAAAAGAAACATCCTGTTTCTCAAGGTGCTCTGTAAGGGCTCACAGATGCATGGACCACAGCTCAGATCGCTGTCTCTCCCCTAGAGGCCCATTATGGAAAACGAACATTTTGTTCTTTCTGTAGGTCAAAACTTTGGATTATTATCTCAGAATTTTGACTTACTAACTAAAACTCCTGTAAAAATGAGCCAAACTTCCAGTAAAGTTGAAGTTTTGAGATTAAAACGCCAAAATTTTGACTTATGATTGGCAAAAATTATTTTTGTTTTGTTTTTGTTATAGAAACAAGCTTCCAACCATAAAACAATAACATTTTTGTAATTTAAAGCCTGAAAATCGTGACCAAGCCTCATAAGGATGATTTTTGAGTTGTGCATTTTGCAAAGGTTTCAGTTAGGTCTCCTTTAATTTAAGGAATGTTGCAGTAATGTTGCATCATTGGTGTTTGAGGAATATTTCATCCAAGACATTATAAAGACCATCTTTCTGTTGCTCTGTGCTGTGTTCAGGTGTCTCCGTTCCTCTTGGCACTGACGGGAAACAGTCGGGATCTGCAGCTCGACTGAGGCCGGAGGAGCTTTCTTTTTTCCGCAATGAGTTTCCTGTGGAGGCGAGTCTTTAATAAACCGCTGTCTTCCATCGCAGCGGCTCCTCACCTCAGCCGGTCACTCCACATTGGCCAGCGAGCTTCCCTCACCAAAGCGTTCTCTTCCCGTGACGTGGAGGCGTTCGCTGAGCTGACAGGTGACACCAACCCCCTCCACCTGGATCCGGCGTACGCCAGCACCACTTCGTTTGAGACACCTATCGTGCACGGCGTCCTCATCAACGGCCTGATCTCAGCCGTGCTCGGCACCAGGATGCCGGGTCGAGGCTGCATCTTCTTGTACCAGGAGATCCGCTTCCCGGCACCACTCTACGTTGGAGAGGAGGTGCTGGCCGAAGCCGAAGTCCGCAAGATTAAGATGTCATTCGCCTTCATTGCTGTAACGTGCTCCGTTAAGGATAAAGTGGTGATGGAGGGTGAGGTGATGGTGATGTTGCCTGAGGAGCAGCAGCAGCAGGAGTGAGAGGAGGAGGTGGTCACCCCTCACTGTCTCCTCAAAATAGTATTTTGTACACGAGGGACTTTATTATTGTTTGTTGCTCAAAGCAAGAAAAACATGTTTATAGGCAGAGCATCTAATATTTGTTTCCAGCTCTGCTTTGTTTATTGTTTTGAAATCTTTTGTGTGGAGATAAAATAATAAATGTGTCTTTGAATTTTTCAAACCTGCTTGTGTTGTTATACCCACCTGTTCACTCACATCTCACACACACACAACTTTCTTTCCTTCCACCATACTGTGATCCTTCTATTTTTCTTTTTACTGACTCATTTCCTTCAGCTGATTATAAGGGTAAGTTTTTTTATTATGTTTACTTAACATAATGACATGTTAATATTTCCATGTTTCATGATTAATCATGTGAAACAACACTTTTTGAGCACTGCAAAGTGAAGCTGGAGAACTGTTCAGTCAAGTGAACCTTATGCGGCCACTTCATTAGGTATACCCGGTTAGCATTGAGAACTGAAGCCTAGAAGAGTCATTGACATGGTCAACAACAACACTCGGCTGGACTGAAATGATGCTCGGTGCTAAATCTGGCCATTCTCCTCTGACTTCAACTAGACATTTTCACCCACTGAGAAATGCTTGGATGGTTGTACAGAAAGGTCCAAGCAGATCACCAGTTTGTGAGAACACCAGCCTGTCTGACACTAACAACCATGCCACCTTCATAGTCACTTAAATCTTCAACTCATTCTGAGGCTCAGTTTGAACTTCAGCTGGTTGTCTTGTCAATGTCTACATGCCTACCTGGCTTATTAGATAATTATATTAACAACCAGTTGAACGTGTACCTAAAAACTGGCTAGTGAGTGTACACTGGCAGAGCACTATTTAAAGCATTTCTAAACTAAACTCTAATCAAGTGGTCATAGTTAAATCTGATTAAATAATTTTTCAAAGGCACAAATCTTTTTTTTTTTGTAAGTGTCTGACTTAATTTTTTTCATTTATGGTTTAGTTTAAATATTGTTTATTTCACACAGATGGCTGTAGATTTTTATTTTATTTCCATTACTTTATTTATTTGATTTATCTCTATCCTTCAACCTGATATTCATTTTTTTTTTTTGACATTTTAGACTAACTAATTTAAAGGCAAATTAAAAAAAAAATTGGTTGAATGAATGTGTATATGACTAATAACAAATAAAAATGCTTAAAGAAGAAATGAAAGAAAAAACAAACATAATTGTTTAGATAAATTTTGACCAAAATTTTGTTAGTAATTCTAAGTACACAAAATAACAACTATCATTTGGAAATAGTTTGAGAAACCATTCTCCTCCAAACCAGCAGATGGCGACAAAGCTTCTTTACGGGGTTTCTCGATATCCAATTAAAACGGGGAATCTGCGTGACGTTTGCTCCGAGCTGCGCTTCCTGGTTACGGCATATCCAAGCTAGGCTATCGACTCGCTGGTTGTCTTCTCTCGGGTTTCCGCAGTTCGTCTTCCCCGCGTTGACAGACTGACATCAGATAGGACTTCCACCGCTAACCCTCCAGGATGTCTTTCCTGGAGAAGCCGGCCCCCGGCAGCCTGCTACTAGACGATACAGTGCCCCTGACGGCGATGATCGAAGCCAGCCAGAATCTGCAGTCCCACACGGTAAGTGTTAACCGAAAATCCCCGCCGGTTCACCGCTGACAGCCCGCGGCTTCAACCGTAAAATCGTTGTTAATGTTTCCTCAGCATGACTCACTCATTGGTGCTGCTGTGGCGAAAAATATTAGTTTTCGGGATTTATTTTTTTTCTTACAAGGAGGCGTTTTTAAGTCGATGGCTATGTGGCTAGTTCAATTATCGGACACGCTGGACAAGACTAGTTTCGTTTTAGTGTAGTTTCCCAGACTGTTGCTGTCACTGATTTTCGGTAAGCTTTTCTGCTGATTACAGTGGAGCACTGACACTGGTTGCCCCGCAAGGATCGCTTTCAGAGTCCCCGTTTTTCATTATATACCAAAGTCCTTTAAAATATTTTGCGTTTTTAGATTATTGTTGAAACAGCAACACTCGTTGGCTGATGGTTTGTTTTTGTTTTTTTTGTTCTTAATGGGCTAATTTAATATTTGGCATGCAGTCACTCTGAGAAAACAACTCAACTATATTCTGTAGTTATTTTCTTCAGCTGCATATTTTTTAGTGCTGAAAAACAAAAATGTGATTTTTGACAAGTTAACTAAAGCAGATCAAAGTGAGCGTTGGTCTGTGTATATGTAAGCTGATAAAATGTGTGATTATTATTAAGCAACTGCTGAAATCCACAGAAACTGTAAAATCGGATTTTTCATTGGAGTTCGGGCGGTGTCTGATGGCGTTAAAGGCCAAAGATTTAGAGGCAAAAAGCAATGCCCATGTTACGTTATAGCAAAATGTGCAGCGTTACAATGAGAAGCGTTGGTGAATAAAGTAAACTTGGTGTCGTTGAACTGTCGCGGTTGTCCGATAATGGGTGCAATGGCAGCCTGTTTGTTGTTGACAGTCCGGCTGCGATCAGCTGAGCTAGCTAGTTAGCTTAGCACGCTAATGTCAGCACTGTAAAACAGAATCATGTCTTCCACTGAAGGCACTAATACAGCTGGATGTGAGTATTAATCATTAACGTCCTGTTTCCACGTATTTATTTATATCTGTTAATCCACGGGGCTATTGTTTTCCCTCATTCTTCAGCCCACAGTGAGAATAAACAAAAATAAGCAGTTCTCTGTGCGTTTAAAGCTATGTTTTGCTCTTTGTGTGATGCCAGAACTGTCACAAGACCTTTCCAGAGTTTCCCAACATGTAAGCAGCTCCAGAATTAATGCAGCTCTGAGAGGACAGGCCTCTGGTTACTGCACTGTGCTCAGGCAGTAAAGTACTGCTAGTCATTCTGCTCTATCACCAATTACAAACAGCTGACTACACAGAAACAAACACTGATGGGCTTGAGTCTCTCACGGGGTTTCGTTTACAGTGATGTTTCCAACACTGCATTACAGGAGTGCATGCAATGGGAAGAAGCCATTAGATGCAGGGTTCTGTTTTAATTTAATTATTTAAATCATGTTTATGATGCACATCATAAAGTGTCAGTGTGCACTATGGAGGTTTATGGTCTCATTTGGCAGGTGTTACAGCACCTGACACAATCCAGTCAGTGCAACTGTTGTTGTTTTTTACATCTGCTGTTATAGACTCACTCTCTCCACCTCCATTCACTACTCTGAGTGTAATTCATTAGGGCAAAAAAGAGACAAATCACCTCATAAACAAAGTTTTCACTCTTCTGTGGATATGTGAATAATTTGATTATGGTGAGCTCTTCTGGCAGGTAATGTGCAGGTGAAATTCTAATGTGGTAACAACCTTAATTCGAAGATTTGGGGAATTTAAAGACTTGCTGTAAAATTTCATAACAGCTGGATAAAATTTTGGGGTGATTAGGCATTATTGGTCTGCGAATACAACAGGCGCAGTGTTGTGTTAACACCCTTAAAAGGAGTGTATTCGTTTTATTGTTATTTTTGGCCATTAGATTAACAAAAATCTAATGGCTAAAAATGCTCATCTGTCATCCCTCTGGATGTCCTCTTTCACTGCATCCACGAATATTCTCCGTGCTCTTCTTTTACTTCAACCTGAGCTGCCCCTCTGGCAGTACCTATTTCTGTCCTTTTTTCTACTCCTGTCCATCCTTGTTCCTCTGTCCCTCTCATTGAAAATCTGAGCATCTTAAACTTTGGTTCCGAAAGCTCTACTTCCTCTCTTTTTCTCAGTGGCTTCATCTCCAAACCACACATCATAGGAGATCTTAAAACCGTCCCTTTCTCTCTTGCTGCTGTCTTTTTGTCACAAATTACCCTTGACACTTATCTTCACCAACTCCACCCTGCTTGCACTCTCTGCTTCACCTTTTGTGTGGATGATAGTAAACTCATCCACCTTCTACTGGCTTTCATTCCTCTTTTCTTTAATGCATACCTCCACCTCTCCAGACTCTCTTTCACCTGCTTCCCCCTCTCACTATAGATCACAGTGTCATCTGCAAACATCATAGCCCGAATAAATCAAGTCAAGGTCGCTACAATGGTTCAGTGCACAAATTATAATTCAGTGCAGCTGTTGAATAATGAGAAATGTCAGTTTTCTTTTAGGGTATTTCCTCCTTTCATCATCTTACTTCTGCTAATGCGAATGACATGTGTTTGTTTGTTCTTCAACGGTGATCTGAAAACTTACTTTCGTCTTATTTTCGCTTTGGACGAAGATTTGTGATATAATTCAACATCACCTTGTTTTGTTATACAATATGAGCAACAAAAACGAAAGTGAACGGAAACAGTAAAAAAGTAAAAGTTCAGCCTTTTGAAACGTATCCATGTAATATCTCAGAAAACTAGTATAAACACAATATTTGCTAGGCAAGAACAGGAAGTTCACATTCATCCTGACTGGTTTCTAAGATATACACATTTGGAAGCTGTACACGTCACTGAATATAAAACATTTTATAAAGACATCGACTAAGAAAACACATTTGGTTTTGTAGCAGTTGTGTATAAAAGTCATCGGTCTGGCCACCTCAGTGGACCTCATGTGAGTGACTTTACTTTATGAAACGAAAGGTTTTAAGAAGAGATAAAAAGACAGCAGTTCAAAAGGTGAAAGAGGAGCTGAGTTTAGTGGCCTGAAGCTCCAAAATGTATTAACAAACATCAGCTGGACGGCGGTGATTTTAGGCCTTTAGCTGTTTATGAAGCTGCTCGGCTCACATGATTGATTGCACGATTACAGCAGAAATCTGAACCTCTGAAAGCTTGAAATAGACGGTGAGTGGACTGAGAGGATTAAAGAGGGGAAAATGCAGGGTTTACACGTTTTCATATTCGCGTCCATCGTTTCTGACGGTCGAGAAAATATTTTGCTCAGCAGCTTCATTGCAAAGATCTGTGACAAGGATGGCATGCGCAGGCAGATCCTCTGATGTGGATCATTTATGTGGAAATGAAACAGAAAGGGGATTCACCCAACATGTGTGAACTCCTTTAACGGTGCCTTTCCCGCGCAGCTGGCCTCGCTGCAAGAGTTGTTTGTTTTGTAGTTCAATTTTGTTTTCTTTAAGTGTTTTTATTAATTTTTATTTACTGTTTACTACATTTGTGCAAGTGAGTGGATTT